TAATTAGATCTCTTTTTCCATTTTTTTTATCTTGTTAGATTTAAATTAGATCTATTTAGATTTAATCCATTTTTTCCCGGGAACATATTTCAAGGTCATTGAAATCGGTGAACAGAACTACTTTGTATATAATTACCGTATTGTTTGTGTGTTTCTCTATTTTTTCCAAAACTATCAATATATATTTAATTGCAAATTTTTATAGCAATCTCAAGTAGGATAATTTGTAACACTGAAAACATAACGATTTACACAGAATTCTCACAAATAATAATATCAGCGAGATACAACCTGGTCATTTTTAACGGGACTGAATAGATTAGAAACTTTGCGACTAGATCAAAATAAAATAGTGACGGCGGATTTTTCTGACCTAGAAAACAGCACCACTGTGTACTTGATGTAAAGTATTGCATTATGTTGTATCAAGAGGCACGGTAGTACCTCGCGCCAAGTTCACGCGCAACAAAGTGGCGCTCGGACTGCGCGAGCATACCGTGCCTCTTATATACGTGAAATTCAGTAAATGAGAAAATAGGAAGTTTTTTACAAGACTATTTTTCAAGAACGACTGAACCGATTAATTTCGTTTTAGTCTCATTCGCTTCAGAATGAAACATTATAAAAAAAAGTATTCTTGCGTTTTGTGTGTTTGTGGCTTCTGAACGAAGATAATGAATAAGATGAAAAATAGACGTGTAAATCACGATTAAGAAACGTTTTCATCGTCGTGGGACACTCAGGAATGTGCATGTTCACATTTGTGCTACCAGATAGTGTTGTTTAACGAGCACGTTTTAAGAAAAAAGTTAGAGAAAGAAAGAAACATCAAGAAGCACGGTAGTGCCTCGCGTCAAATCCACGCGCGACAAATCACGCACAACAAAGGTTTTCTTTCTATTATTTTACAACCTATGTTAATTCGGTGATTGGAAAGTTCCCGAAAACGCGGTTTTATAACAAAGCTTATGAATAACGAATATACGCATTTGACTTATTTTAATATTCTACATTTAACGATACATAGTTCTTTTCGCAAATCGCGGATATCTCGAGAACCAGAAGAGATAACTTGAAACTAATTTTGCAGGTATTTTCAATCGACTACTCTACGATTTATGACAAAGAGTGAAAGTTAACAAATTAAATATTTCGAGAACGGTACAAGTTAGAGCAAAATGATTTTCGGATCTCGTTTTGTATTAGTTAGATGCAAAATACCAAGTAATAAAAGTTTAATAATTTTTATTATTTAAACATTTGATTGTTAAAAACAAAACCTAGAATGTTCAAACTGGGCTGGTATTTTGCAGTTTGATGTGCTGAGAATTATAGTGCAAACCGTTTTTCTTTATTTCCTTTAGTTTGTTAGTTATTAATTTTGCAACTAACTGTGATGCTATGTGGTTGCGACTTAAGGGTGATAACTTGTCGACGTTGGCGTAAGGGTTACGGTGGTAACTCATAAGTAATAGTAACTCGTTCGGAACAGTGGTTTTTTGATGATGTTAGTTACAACAAAATGGTGATACTGGTAACTTTACTCCCGAACTTCGACTCTCGAAGCATCGATTTTAACGTAAGCCGATTTACCGACGGTAGAAGATCTGGATAGTTTTAGGTTCTAGAGGAAAAAACGGCAGGACCGAGTAATAAAAAAATATATATACCTATATATAAATACTAATTAGATATATTCAGTTTAAATATAAAGTTCAGTTTAAATATAAAGTCAATATTGTATTTATAAAAAAATGGTTATCTTAGAAAAAATTAATAAATATGTTACTATTGTTGAGAAAAAACAGAATATAAAGAAACAATGGAAAAGAAAAAGAATTTGAAGAGAAAAAATAGTGCATCATCTATCTCACACGCACGTACATACAACCAAGTAAACTTATGTATATTAAAGTTTTTAGTTTACTATAATATAATAATGTATATACAAAAACTACAAATGTTTATATTCTTCTTTTAGAGAAACTAAAAAAAACTTAAAATATAAAGTGTGTGATACTCTAAGGAACAAAATATAAAGTGTGTGATGCTCTAAAAACTTACTTTTTCAAAAAAAAGTAAAAACAGGCGCCAAGTACACGCACAACACGTATTGTATTTAAATAAAATTATTTTTTTATTTATACTCCAAAAACTTCTTTCTCTATAACATCTGTTTTACAACATTTATATACTACAAAACATTCTTTCTCTAAAAACTTGTTTTACAAAAAAAAAGTGATATCACAAAGTAGCACCAAGTAAATTTTGTACATTATTATCTTAATCTAAGTATCTATAACTACTTTGTTAAGTTTTCGCGCGTTACGGAAAAAATTTTGAAAGAAAGAATTGTCTAGGCCTATTAAATTAACAAAAGGATTTGTAGTGAAACTAACAAGTAGACCCAACAAAACTTTACTTTCCGTGAAAAACAAAAAAAAAGAAAAAGAAAAAATTTTGTCAAAATAAAAAATATTTAATGCAAAAAAACTTGGCGCGGCTGCACCAAAAATTTATCTACAGACATATCTTACATGTGCACATGTAAGTATCAGACTGCCGTGCATATAAAAATTTCAGTTCATTATATTTGAGGTGCAGCGTCAAGTGCAGCCCTCAAATATAATGAACTGAAATTTTTATATGCACGGCAGTCTGATAACGAAAACTTAACAAAGTAGTTATGTATACTTAGATTAGGATAATAATGTACAAAATTTACTTGGTGTTACTTTGTGATATCACTGTTTTTGTAAAACAGGTTTTTAGAGAAAGAATGTTTTGTAGTATATAAATGTTGTAAAACAGATTTTATAGAGAAAGAAGTTTTTGGAGTATAAATAAAAAAATAATTTTATTTAAATACAATACGTGTTGTGCGTGTATTTGGCGCCTGTTTTTACCTTTTTTTGAAAAAGTAAGTTTTTAGAGTATCACACACTTTATATTTTGTTCCTTAGAGTATCACACACTTTATATTTTAAGTTTTTTTTAGTTTCTCTAAAAAAAGAATATAAACATTTGTAGTTTTTGTATGCCGTTTTTTCCTCTAGAACCTAAAACTATCCAGATCTTCTACCGTCGGTAAATCGGCTTACGTTAAAACCGGTGCTTCGAGAGTCGAAGTTCGGGAGTAAAGTTACCAGTATCACCATTTTGTTGTAACTAACATCATCAAAAAACCACTGTTCCGAGCGAGTTACCATTACTTATGAGTTACCACCGTAACCCTTACGCCAACGTCGACAAGTTATCACCCTTAAGTCGCAACCACATAGCATCACAGTTAGTTGCAATTTTATATACGTTAAATTACTCAGGAAATAATAAACAAAAATAAATGAAATAAAAATAAGCAAAATAAACTTTTAATCTATTATAATAAATATATGTAACGCGCGTTACGTACATATTGAAATTGAATATGTATTACACATATTTGTTCTCATTTTAAATCTTTAGATTCCGTTCTTTCTATATTCACACATTCTTATAACATTTTAGAGAAAAAAACCAAGAAACGTAATTAAAACCTACAGCTCAAAATTGCAGCTAATGATCAAATAATCTAATCCTTATAGATAAACCTGTTTATTATTTCCTGTCTCATCTATATGTATCCGGAAAATATTATAAAAATCTAGATCCGTTTATAAATAATTTCTGTGACACATAGTAATTTCGCGATAACTTGAAAAGAAAATTATATGTATATCAGCTACATTGCAATTATCGCACATTTTGCAGTTAATTGTGAATCTACAATCGTTTTGAAAGAAATGTTTTCCTCTATACGCGTGTTACGGCGCATTCATTTAGAAGATTAACCGTCAATGATTACTGATATAACGGCCTGTGAAACATTATTGCACCATTTGCACATATATTTAATAATCTGCTCTTTTTATTACCAGAAATCTCGCTGAGAACATATCAACGACGTCTGCCTTGAAACTGCTACGACTGCCGGCGTTGACAGAAATGTAAGCGTATAGGTATATTAAAATTCATTCGACCTGTGCACTGTAGGGTAGACTCGATTCCCGACACTGCACCATATCGGTTAGTAATAAAAACACAAAATAAATGTGTGCATTTCGAATGTTTCCAAGTCGCGTTTCAGAATATTGGACAGAAATTGCTTTGTGTCAATAACGGGAGACTTATTCGCCGGATGCCTCTTTGCAATCACTGTACGTACGTAAGTAGATTACAGAAGCGATTACTGTCATTGTTAATAAGATTCATGCGAGCTGTAACGGCGTAACGATGATTCAGGAATATAGAGGACAATAACATAAGCAACATCGACGAGCATGCGTTTCGAAATTTGCAACTTGTTGAGCTGTAAGTGTATAAATGTTAATGTGACTCGATTTCACGTTAACGGTATATATCAGTGTTTGGTTATTGTAATCACAGACTGTCGGGAGTAAATGCATTGCATTGCCTCGATGTTGATATTGCAACACATCATAAACCGTACAATCAGCCTCGAAATCCTTTTACTTGTCACGATTTTTTCTATAACTCGAATCAGTTAATACATATTAATTAATTTTTTTGTTATATTTTTTGTACAGAAAATTATAAGTTTGTGTACCCATATAAATAAATAGTAAAACCAAATTTAACCCTTTCCGTGGATAGACCTAAAAAATGACGACTAGTTGAACGACTGGTTGGTCTGTAAAACTCACGCGACTTTAAAATCGAATATCTCCGCGAAAAATCAATATCTTTTAAATTTTTAAAACTTAACTGTTTAAACAATTCTGTGTCAATAAAAAAAAACAAATTGTAAAAATTTCTAGTAGTTTTAAATATATAAACGTTTAAAAAAAAACTAATTTTAATTTTACTAGAGAAGCCAATACGCAATTTTTGTGTGGGTCTGAAAGACCATATTTATCCGTGAAGGATTAAATATCATATCAAAAAAAGCTGTTAAACTTATGCTATAATCTACAAGTAAATATATAACAATATAGTTAAAAAATGAAGAATTGTCTAAAGTAATAAATAGCAATTATCATATGTATACCGCATTTGATAAATTATCCGAAAATTGAACTCCGTTGATAAAAAAAAACGCGGTAAAATACATACAATTTTGTTCCAGCAACTTGGCCTACAACAAGGTAATCACAATACCGTCAAACGTGTTTCAACCCGTGAATAATCTGTCAAAGCTGTAAGTGTACAAGCATATTTCTGATGAAATATATAAACCGTGATAATCAGCTTAACAACTAAATACTTAGGGTACGTGCTTAAGGTGCAGTCGCCGGTACTTACCTACTGTTAAAAATTTTTCGCAAAAGTAAACTACGAAAACGTCACGTACCCGCAAGCAACCGGTTTTAATTATAATTCTAGCTCGCATGTGTACATGCGTGTCGACTGGAGAATTTGTTGAAAATAAAACTTCTTGGGCCTCGGTAAAGTATATTGATACAATCTTTGTACTTTCAGATTAATCGGTTATAATCCTGTCGCCGAATTACCAATAACGCTCTTTAATCCACTGAGCAATCTTCACTCTTTGTGAGTGATATTTTTTTATTTCTGATAGAAGCACGTAATTTACTACCAGAGATGCCAGTTTGCGGACGCTAGCAACATGCAACAGCAAGTGGAGGGGATACGCACACAAGCAGGCAGCCACTCGCCGAAGCGCTGAGCGCACACGTACACGGCTGTTTGCCTGTGTGCGTTTCGTCTATGAATCCTCTCTACTTGCTGAGCATGCTGCTAGCGTCCGCAAACTGGCATCTCTGCTTACTACTATGTTTCTCTTTCTATCTTCAATTCAACACGAAAATATATAAACAGCAGCAGTTTTCTACTTGATTTCACACTTTATCGCTCTTTCAATCTTGTAGTTTTCAATTTGTATTTATGACACAATAAATTAAATATTATTTTATAGATTTTCAAATTTTTTGAAATTTAATTTTCGAATTATAATTTGATTTAAAGTTATACCTTAAATACTTTGTTTCTAGACACTCATACTATTTCTCTTATTGATAGTTGAATACTAATTGTAAAAGAGCCATATACGATTTATATTTGCTAATATTATTTACTTTTATCTTTTATAATACGATGAATTTCAGAGGCGTTGAAGATATAAATATGAACAATGTGGACAAAAGTGTATTCGATATTCTCGTAAACCTTGATTTTATGTATGTATAATTATTTTAACATAAACCTACAAGTATTTTAACATAACCACATAATCAAGTCTTGTTTTTTAAATAAAGAAACACCTACACGAGAGAAAAAAAGAAAAACCATAACGATGCTTAAAACTCTCTCTCTGTTTTAGATACTTTAAAAAATTTTACTATTGTATGACGTATGCACCAAAAGTGAAAAACTGCAGCCCTACTAGGGATGGTGAGACATAACCATTAATTTGACAAAACGTTTACTTAAATCACTCTTGAACTGAGGAATACAATGCTATTCTTTTTTTTTCTTTTTTTCAAGGTGTATCGTCGATGTCTCATTTACTAGGAAAATATTTATTAAGGGGTGCCGTTTGGAAAAACATATCTTGTCTTACTTGTCTTGGCAATGTTCTTGTTCTTTGGGGAAAATTCATCGCTAAAGAGAATCATGTTTTAAGTATCATGATTAAAAATCTTGCAGGTAAATGAACGTTTTTAATTATTATAACAGAGTTGTAAAAACTTACATTTGTACAAAAATGTAAATTTTCAATATCTATAAAGTTTTGAGAAAATTTACTAAAATTTTGTGTAAATCTGGAAAACTAAGCACAATAGTTGCAAATTGCTGAGCGTTGTTTTAGATATCAAAACACACACACATACACGTACGCGCGTAAGATATGCTACGCTATGAATACAAGATTACGCCGGTATAAATAATATAATAATAAATGATTTGTAGTACACAAAATCACGAAGTGCACGCGAGTTATTATCGTTGCGGTTTCCAACAAAGCGCAACATGATAATCGATCGGGTATATATTAAAGAGGTTTGGGACGTTTTTCAAAAACGACAAAAGTGTTTAAAACTTTAGAATCTTGTTTTTAGTCATAAAATAAAATTTTCCAATTTTTTTCAATATTTGTTTCCATGGAAAGTTCTGAGAAAATTGTTGATGAAAACTCGATAATTTCAGATTTTTAACATGGGTTCTTATGGGACTCATATTTTAACTGATAAAAAAAGTAAGGTGAAAATGACACGGGTATTTGAAAAAATTTGTACTGGTAGATTAACAATTTAGGAATCACTGTGCAAAAGATGAAAGCATCTTTCCATGCAATTAAAGACGTAAATAATTGTTAAAACATCAAAATCGACGATTCTAAGATGCATGACAAAAACGTGACAACAGTGCAATCAGCTGGTCATTTACTATATAGAGTACTGTTCAGCAGAACAAGCTGCCTTATAGCACTCGAACGTGATTGGCTCTTTACTTTTAGAACCAACAAATCAACATAGAGTGTTACTACCTTCTTCTACAATATTTTGAAGTAATAACGAGTTTGTACACTTCAAATATTTCATGTTATTAGCCATGTGTTTCAAATTTATTATTTAATTTCCATCTACTGGATATTCCTCTTTTAAAGCTTTACTAGAACTACTAGACATTGTTTTGTTTCTTTTTCCAATTTCTGAACATTTTACTTTGTGTTCATATTGTTTTTTTGTCACAAATTTGTTCTTTCATCTATAACGTGCCATATTCAAGGTTATACGCATACTTATAAATTTTGCGTTGTTGCCAAATGTAAATTATACAAATGTCGATAAAGTAGGTATCATCTGATTCCCCTTTTCCTCCTGATTAACAGTCTCAAACCTTCTTAATGTTAGCCTCATTGTAAATCACACGGCGATATAGTCACGTAATCTTTTTACAGTGTCCGACATGTTGATGGGAATATATCTTTTCATAATCGCCCGGTAAAAAATTTTTTATATATATTAAACTTAATAAATAAACAGTCTATGGAGCCGTTGCGCAGGATGTCTTGCGGAAAATATGTCTTATATGTGTGTGCACATATAAGTAAATTCACGTTTTTCACGTGTTTTTTCGAATTGAAATTTCAATTCATTTTTATATATACTTATACACAAATTAGAATTATTATATCTAATTATCCAAATTTATATGCCGAATATGTCCATACAATTTTATACACGGAGAATTTCTTTTTTTAAGCGAATGGCTTCAGAGATATTCCATATCAAATTACAAAATAACTCTATTAGTATCATGTTAGATACAAAAAATTATATAAAACTATATTTTTACTATATTTTTAAAAAATTTTTGATATATAATCATATATACTTATACACAAATTAAAATTATTGTATCTAATTATACAAATTTATATGCTGAATATGTCCATACAATTTTATACATGGAAAAGTTTTTACCGGGCGCCGTAGAAGACGCAAGGTCTCGCGATAACTACAAACAGGAAGCGAGTGCGTGGATGTCCTCGTAGTCTTGCACGCTTTTAGGAGTGTTGGCGATGGTGTCATCGGAGGTACACACATTAACACCTTGCTATTATAAAAATTCACTATAATTTTCAATTCGTAACGTGCAATTTCTCTTTAACGGTATTTATAATGACCTGCTACGTTACCCCGCTCAACAAAATCTGGACACTGACAAAAAATCGATATGCTAACGATTTAGCCAGTGTCAGCTTCAGTTTTTTACATGTAATTAATTATTTTTTCTATATCGTTAGTCAAATATAATTGATCTTTCAGAAAGAATTTGAATATATTAAAAACTTCTATAAAGTTATAGAAATTAATTTTTTCGAAAATTGTTTATAATAATATAGAATTATTAAATTATATAAAAACTTATTAAGATTATATATTTGTTTTAATTATTAAATTATATTATTAAATTATTAAATTATAAATTGTTTATAATAATAAAATTTCATTCTAAAATGTCTTTCTGAAATATTTATAATACTTGTTAATAAATCCCTAATTTTCTAATTTATCAAAATAATGATATGTAGTAGTATCATTAAGCATGAAATAGAGTTGAAGTATTGAAAATCTAAGAGAACTAATCTTAAATTACTTAATAAGGTTTCCGTATTCATCCTCCCCTTCATTTATGTCTGTGGAGCGATATATTATGATCGCAAATCCTTTAAGATGTCATCCTATTATAACATCTCAAGTTGCAGCTTTGTCGATGATCGTTATCTGGATTATCGGACTTTTCTTTGCTCTTGTGCCAGGTTTGTTTCCGTAAAAAAAGATTTCGTTTAATCTACTTTCTAATACTTGCCTATTTTCTTTGTTATTTGAAGAATCTTTATCTTGATCAATTTTTTCTGAATTTAAAAGTTATCTACTGGAGAAGCAGCACGAAATTTTATGGTGTCAACAGGATGTGCTTTCCTCTGCACATAGATGATCCATACCTGATAGGCTGGAAATATTCAGCGTTTATCTTTCTGGGAGTTAATTTCTTCGGGTAAATTACAATTAGACATATATCTGTAACAATATTGAAGCAATTGCCATACATGACATAGCAAGATCATTATCCTTGATTACGCGCAATGATAAACTCTTTTGTAAGCAATAGAAGAAAATAGTGAGTAGCAGAAGCGGTTTTATATCCAATTATTGATTCTTGGATTTTCGAATAAGTTTCAATCAAGAAAATAGAGAGTACAGCCAATCAAAGAATTTAATCAACTTCTACCACGATTTCAATCCAATAGATGCTTGTTGCGATGATTGCTCCGATATTACATCAGGAAAAGAGAGGCTATCATTACGCTTATTTGCAGATTTATGATTATCGGTTACGTTTACGCTGCCATGTTTGCTAGTATCTGGAGAACGCGCCACGCTACGCCGCTCTTTGTCGGCGATTCCGAATTCGCTTTCAGGTTCTTCCTAATCGTGTTGACAGACGCGGCATGTTGGGTACATATTATAACACTGAAAATCCTTGCAATGACGAAATATCCCGTACCACGTAAGCATAAATACACTGTAATGCGAGTTTTACTGATTTGTCTCGTTTACGATATTGCTGGTTATAGAGTAAATGTCCTGACAGTGTCTCAGTTACTGGTAATTCGATTTTAAATTCTTTTTTGAATATAAATATGATTGAATATAAATTGATTATTATAAATTATATTATATGTTATTTTATGTGTGTGTATTCAATTTTACTCGAATTTTTCAGAAATTTATTTGTAAGTATATTTTATTAGAATATATAAAAAATCTAAATCTTTTAATTAAAAAAAATACTTAAAATGTTAAATTTTTGTCCATTTTCGAGTTATGTCCAGTTTTAATAATAAAAATTAAAAATGTAATAACGAAAATGAGAAAAAGATTATAAATTAAAATTAACAGAAATCAGTCATTTGACTGTTTTTATCTACTAATAGATTTAAAAGTGAGTTAAAAAGTAAACTATTAGATAAATTATTTAAACTTACTATATTATATAATTATTAATGTCAGTAATATATTCATGGTTTTTGTTGCTGTTTCAATATATGTTGTCAACGGTTGGTGGTTTGGTGCAGTTGTGGCTCAGAGGACCATTTAAGTTAGTCCATACGCCATTCTGTGTCTCATAGTTCATAGTTAGGAGCGCAGCTCCAATAATAATTGTAGAGTAAGTTGTATATAAAAGGGGGGGTTGTGCAGTATTCTTCTACCACGCGATACACGGCCGTCTTTCACAGTAGGCGTGCCTATCTGTGTCGGGCTCGTGCTCAAGATGTTATGACTTATGATCGCCTTGTGGGAGAGGGATTAATTCGGGATTACATCCGAATTAATTTTTTGAAGGCTCGATTTAGTTCGCCGATCAACCAGTGAACTCGGTTAAAAGGAACCGGTCCGGAAAAAATCCTTAGGTGATAGGCGGATTCGAACCCGAGACCTTCGGGTTTGCAGTATATGTTGTATGTCAACAGTATTATGAATATGAATCATAAAGAAGCGAACGTAACACTGATATAAGTTAAGGGCCTTCTACAATGAGATATTAGTAATAAATCAGAAGTCAGAAGCAAGAAATTGACCAATTACAGAAGAATAACCGATTGTGATTAGTCAATTTCTTGCTTCTGACTTCTGATTTATTACTAATATTTTATTGTAAAAGGCCCTTTACGTTCGCGCTATCACCGCTATTGCGTTATTTTATCTTTGTTTTATGTCTGATGAGCGATAAAGACAGAATGATAACAATATCGGAGATAGCGCACTTCCAAAACGTAGTTATAATATCTAAATTTCTTTGCTGTCTGTCAATAAGTCTGCGTATCAAATTTTCAAGTGTATCTACATCGATATATTTTATCAAGTTAATATTTTTGAGACAATAAGTAAAAAACTTGATTTGTTTCACATACATTGAAATATACATTATAATTAAGTATTTATGCCATTTTTAAGTATATAATTAATAAAATAACTTATATAATAACATATATAATAAAATTAACATATATAATTAATAAAATAATACGTATAATAACATATATAATAAAATAATATATATAATTAATAAAATGCTTTTTAAAGCATTTGTTATTTAACTTCAGCTTCACTTAATTTATTGTACATATAGCACATTAAATTAATTTAAATGTATATTAATTCTTTAGTGTGCAAGACGCGGGTTTCTCAGACTCACTTAAAAATTTATCAAACCGATGTTTCTTTCTATCAGGTATTAGTTTACTGCAACATCTGAAGATCCTGAAAAAAAGATCCTTAAATAACGGTAGGTCATTGACAGCGTCATTTGTTCGATAACTTTGCAAATATTTAATTGTGAATTGTGAAAAGGATCTGAAAAACCTAGGTTTAAACAAGGTCATGACGTTAGCATTTCGAAAAGTAAAATTTCAACGAAATATATATATAGGGTCTTACGAGAGCTGATCGCAGGATGTTTGTGCAGAAATATGCATGTATATACAAGGTGTCCCAGAATTGGTGTAACATCTATCGTAGATAGGGTAAAAGAAGTAAAACTAAGTCGATAAGTCCTATACCATTTTGCTAGATTCGCAATAGTTACCGAAATCTTAATTAACAAAGATCCACGAATAAGCGTGCATCGGGCTGTCTCACTCCACAATCCGTGCAGGCTGCGTGCAATGGCCGAGAATGGCCCCCGCCATTCCCTTCCTGCAGCCTGCGTTTGTTCTGGATAACCATCATTCCACGACCTCTTTTCAAAAAGAAAAAAAAGCCGAGAGAAAAGGCGCATCAAACAACTCATCTCCGCGCGTACCCGCGTTTTTCGTATCGCTGGGAGACGAGTCCCCAGCAGCTTCCAATTTATATTTGAGGGCGTAGATTCTTACGCGCTTTTTCGGCCTCTTCTTTTGTTGTCATGACCTTCTCACAAAAAGCGAGGAAGGCCCGCCAACATTCTCATTCTTCCGTCATCCTCCTAACCACAGATGACAGACTCAGATCGGGGCTCATCGTCGCTATAAGCCTAATTCTTTCTATCAGCCACGCAGGGCAATCCGCCAGAGTGTGCTGAGCGGTGTCCACCTCCACCTCCCCACAGTGACTGCAAAGAAGGGTCGGCGACTCGCCTATACGATGTAAAAAGGCATTAAACACTCCGTGGCCAGAAATGACCTGCGCGGCCCTGAAAGTCAAGATGGCTTTCCGGCACATTAGCCACCTGTCCAACACTAGCTCGAAGGCCTCTCGGACTCTCTTTCCCGCACGAGATGCATCACGTAGACGCATCCGCCATTTATCCACCGCGTCTCGTTCAATCTGCCTCCTAATCTCTAGAAGATCAGCAAGGTCCATTGGGTCTCCTGTTTCAGTAATCCGTCGCAAGGACTCGAATATTTTCGCCTGCCGCCACGCCATTAGCTCGATTGGCATAACTCGTGCCAAAACTCTTACAGCCTCACCAGATACTGTGCGATATGCACAGACAATCCTGGCTGCAATTAGTCTCTGCACTTCAGCCAGAGGGACAGCTCTCCTACCTATTTGCATTTCTCTGTGCCAGATAGGAGCCTCGTATAGGAGCACAGAATGAACCACCGCAGTGTATAAGTGTCTAGTTCAAGTGCGCGGGTCTCTCAAATTAGGCATTAGTCCAGATAGGGCATTAGCCATTCCGCTAGCTTTGTCCGACGTGCGACGGAAGTGTTCAATAAACTTCCATCGATCGTCGATCCACAGTCCCAGGTATTTCATACATGGCCGAGACGTCACCCATGTATGATCTACCATGACCTTTACAAGTGGAAGATTCTTACGATGGCCTAAAGGTCTAAAGGCCACCATCTCAGTTTTCTTCGGGGCCAGCTCGAGTCCCAGCCTGGCCATTCGTTGCACCACCATCGCTACCGCAATAGATGCTCTTCTTGCAGCCTGTTCACCTGTCTCTCCGCCCGCCAGAACAAGGGTGTCATCCGCATAGCATACAAGGGAGCATCCCTCTGGGAGACCCCCCGCAGCATCACGTCAAACCCCAAGTTCCATAATAGCGGGCCAAGAACAGAGCCCTGCGGGACTCCGCACGTCATTTGACGCGTTCTCATGCGTCCATCCGCACAGGGGAAGATTACCTCCCTACTGTTGAGGTACGCGTCCAACACCGAGCGCAGGTATATGGGGAAACTCCACGCCCGTACAGCACGCCGAATGCCCCCCCCCCCCACGCTAGGGTGTTGAACGCGTTTCTCACATCCAGACTAACGGCGACACACACCTCCCCTTCACAGGTATGGCTCTCAGCTATTGTTCTCACCCTGGCCACCGCATCACAGGTGGATAATCCAGTACGGAAACCGTACTGGAACGGTGACAGTCCACCATCATGGGAGATGTGTTCCTCCATGCGATTCGCGATTACTCGCTCGAATAACTTGCTCAGGTCGTTCAGGAAGAAAAAAGCCTGTAGGACGCCCAGGCACCCGGCGTTGCAACCAACACCAGCCTTGCCCTTTTCCAGAAAGATGGAAACACACTCTTTCTTAAACAGTTGCCGAAGCACCTGAGTATTAGTGACAGCGCTACCGCCAACATCCGAGTCCAAACCGTGTTTGTAAGGCCATCCGGGCCAGGGGCTGTACGCCGGCCAGCCATCTTTCTCACCGCAGCCGTTAGCTCACGTTCAGTAATCTCATATTCCCTCCTCCAGGGAATACGCGTGGGTAGCTTCGGGCTGTTCTTTTCATGCACCGGAAATAGAGTGTTAACCACTTCTAAAAGTTCCGGTACTCCCATACTCTCAGTGTTCGAAGGGCCCGACGTACGCAGGCGCGACAAAACTATCCTATAAAGTGTTCCCCAGAGGTCGTCATCCACTGTGGATATTAATTTGTTCCACGCGGCCTTTTTGGCGGCAACTATTAATCCGCGCAGTTCGCGCTGTGACGTACAAAGCGAAATCCTCAAGGCTTCAAGGGCCTCAGGTTCAACGCACTCTTTTAGCTTGGCCCTAGTGTAGCGCCTCCTCCACATCAGAAACTTAGCCCGCACCCCAGCAATCCTAGGGAACTACCAGTAAGCAGGCTTACGTGCTAGCACCCCACGCACTCGCGGCATTGATGCATCACATGCTTCAACTACCTTCTGCGCAAGCTCCAGAACAACTGGATCACTCTACTTGGCCCCTATCAAAGTCGCGTCAAAGGCGTCAGTGTTCCTTCTGTCACTATTCCACCTAGTAAACCACACGCGACGAGTGGTCAGTGTTCCACCACTTCTGTTCCTTATACAAAAGGAAATATAGCGGTGATTTGACAAGGATTCTTCCCGTAGAACCCCCCAATCAGACACCGTCAAGGTCATCGTCGCGGATGCCCAGAACAGGTCCACTATAGAACTACCTTGGGGACGTATACATGTAGCCGCCTTTCCTCGGTTCAGTAAGTGCAGGCCATGTTGAGTCGCCCACCTGCTCAGCAGCAGGCCTCTTCGGCTGGTACAGGAAGATCCCCAGGCAGCCGACTTGGCGTTGAAATCGCCAAGGACTAACACAGGGTCACCCCTTGCCCGCCTAATGCTGTCACCCAGCGCCTCAAGCGACGCCTCAAAGTCCTGGGTAAGGACGTTAGGGGAGAAGTAGC